AATGGTAAACATCTTATTATACAATAATAAGATGTTTTTTAAAAGTTTTTTCGAAAGAAATTCAAACTTTTGGGAAAACTTATAATGTTAGTAAAAATGTTAACTTTAAAATTAAGAGTTTTTTTTTAATTTTATTATTAAACTTCTACAGTCACTAGGCCAAAATGCATTTCAGGCGACGTTTTTTTTTGCGACGAAATTGGATATGTCGCAATTTTGCGACGTTTTACAAAAGAAAAGTCGCAAAATTGGAAAAAAATGAGAATCCACAAATACAATTGCAACTATTATAAAATACGTCGCAAAAAACGTCGCACTAGAGCAGGTTAAAAATTTTTTTGGACAATTGCGACGAAAAAGATAAATCGTCGCAAACTATTGCGACGTTTGTGTTAAAAACGTCGCAATTATTTTTTTTTATTTAATATATTGCGACTTATAGTTATTTTCGTCGCAATGATTTAAATTATTTGCAGAACAAAAAAATGTTGCGACGATTTGGGAAATATCGTCGCAATTTGTGTTGGATAAAAAGAAATATGTTGCGACATTCAATATAAAACGACGCAAGTTATTATTTTTTATCTATTTATAATTAGAACCCCCAATTTATTTATTAAACTACATGCCCTAACCCTCTATTCCTCTTCTCCTGCACACTGTCTTTCTTCCTCGAGCGGCCGACAATTTCAGATCTCTCCTTCGTTTTCATCCTTCAACGACGGGGAGATGGGCATCACCACGGCGACCGCGATACGCTGCCAGCACCGTGACAGAGAGACGTTGCCCCAACCATCTTTTGACTTCGATGCCAGCACCAGCTCACGCCGTCGCTACCACCACCAGCTCACACCGTCGCTACCACAAAATTCCGTTGTCGCTGTTGAAAATCATTAAAGAGGTATTAAATTCATGCTCCATTAAATCGGGTTTAATTTGGGATTTATACCTTGTCTTTTTTTTCAATCTGAATTTTGTAATTAGCAATGAGGAATGGGTTTCTTCTTTGGGTGGTGGTGGTGCTATTTTGCTCATGGGTTTATTGTGTAGAAGCTTCTGTTTTATATGATTCAAAGGCCATTTATGTAAATGGTCAGAAGAAAATTCTCATTTCTGGATCCATTCACTATCCAAGAAGCACTCTCTCTCTCTCTGTTTGTTTTTTTTGTTTTTTTTTAATAGCTATTAAAATTTGTTAATGTTTGAAATTAGTTAATGGGATAATGTAGATGTGGCCAGATCTTATTGAGAAAGCTAAAGAAGGTGGTTTAGATCACTTTTATTTGAATATATATGTATGTAATTATCATTGAAGTTAACAGACTACTTTAATTGTTGGGTATATATATCTAGGTTCTAAAAATGAGCATGTTTTGTTTAATGTGCATATTTATGTGTTTTATTTTTTTAATAAAACATAGACTACTTACTTTCATTTAAAAAAACCTTTTTTTTTTCTTCTGAAATTAAAAAGTTATTGTTTAGTGAATTTTCTTGGAAAAATTGCGCCACCGTTGTGTCTTAGATTTGGGAAGATATGATAAATAAGGCTAAAGAAGGATGTCGTGATGAAAATGGAACTCGTGCAATGTAATTTTTATTTTCCTTTCTAAGTTGATGGTTTTTTGCTTGTTTTTGTGAAACATTTGGTGTTTGTTTTTATTTTTTTCCAGTAATGAAGATGGTTTGATATGGATGCGGTAACAAGTTTCAATCCGCAAGTGTATGAACTTTCAGTTTTTTGTCTTCATAAGGATGTTTGTTGACATTATGAATTCAAGTTATTTTTAGAGAATTAAGCTTGTCCAGTCATATAGGAGAAAACCATAAAAAAGATAAAAAAAAAACTATAACTTGAATTCATAATGAAAATATAAGTAGCTATTATACAATTAATGAGAAGACCAGGTGCAACTAATGTAAGTTTGCTGGTTATTATGTCTAAAGATCGGTGGAAGCTTATGTCTCTTTTCATTGCATTCCCTTTAGCCATCTCGTCTATATTGTGTGATTCTTTAAGATGCTTTTATATAGCATATACTGAATTCAAATAAAATATCCAAATGTGAGATGTTTGCTAAAGCTCGGTGGACTAAAATCTTGTATTTTGATGGCAACTTTTTTGTAGGTTTTAAGTATTATTTTCAGGTTTTGTAAAGACCGTAAGAAAGCAGGGCTATATGTTGATCGCCACATAGAACCGTATATTGTGTAGAGAAAGGATTTTTGGGTAAGTATATAATCCAAAGTATTTTTCTATCAGTTCTTAGTTGTATAATAGCTACTTATCTTTCACTAATCACATTCTTGTTTTGATTTTCAGTTTGACCGAAATATGTTATTGGAATTAGCTTCAGGTTAGATAGCGAGCCATTCAAGGTTGTTGCTGCTTTTTTTCAGCAATTCGTTTTACCATATTATATCCTCATACTAATTCTTAGTAACTGCTACTACAATATTTAAGGATAATGCATGATTTTTTAAGGATTGGATATTTGATTGAGCACTCCTAACTACGTGATCTCTATGTTTCCAACAGATTGAAAATGATCATGCAACAAGATCGCCCTGTCACGGCAACTAAGTATAATGAAAATGAAGGAGAAAATAAGGATGAAGTTCTCTTTGTAATGCTACTACATAAACATTTGCTGTAATTTAAATTTCATGTTTGGATGATTTAACTTAATTGTGAATTTTAATACAGTGGATATAAATTCGGAGTTCAGTACTTCTGCGTATTTGATTTTATTAGAATTGTTTATAATTACAGATTAATTAACGATTAAACAAATGAAATAAACAGGAAAAAAAATAATCAAATAAAATATTTGCGACTTTTTATTGTTTTTCGTCGCAAATATACAGACATAAAATGCGACGTTTTATTTAAGTCGCAAATTGAGGACGAAGTTTGCGACGATATTGAAAGTGTCGTCGCCATATATATGTTAACGAAAAAATTAAATTTTTGCGACGATTCTAACTAAACGTCGCAAACTGTGCGACGGTTTATATTTTTCGTCGCATAAATTGCGACGGCCACTTTTCTGACGGTTTTTTCCGTCAGAAAAGTCGCAAACATTTCGTCGCAAATTTTTATTTTCCGTCGCAAATGAGCTTGTTTCGTCGCAAATTTCCGTCGCCTGAAATGCATTTTGGCCTAGTGAGTAAGTACATATATAATAAAGAATAGGAAATAATAATTATAAAATAGAAATAGTACGGAGAGGGTTATACATTTGTGTTTTGAGTTTTTGAGTTTTTACTTCTTTTATGATGTATTATTTTAACATTAAAAAAATAAGAATTATAATTAAATATTTACAATAAAATAATTATTAGAAAAGTTGGTTGGCGGATATATATTACCTGACCAACCGACTTATGATTAAACTGAAAACCACTGACCGACCCATTTATGTATGAGTCGGTTAAAATTATCGGTCCGACAATAAAATTATCGCCCGAAATAAGCGGGTCGAAAGTGAATCGGTTGGCCGATGAAACCGATCCATGCCCCCGATCAATGTCCATCCCTATAGTATGGAGTGTTGAATGATCATCTCAACCAACGATTTAAACAATTAGTTAAATATATCATTTAATATTAATAATATCAATACACCTTCAGGTGCAAGTAAATTACATTTGAAGCAAGCACTTAAAATATTTGAAATGAATGTGGGATTCGATGTCACACATTTTATTTAATTTGGTTTGACTCTATACAATATCAAAAAGTTATATATTTGAAATGGATGTGGGATTCAATGTCACACATCTTATTTGGTTGACTTGACAATATCAAAAAATTATATGAACCAAAAGGTTAAATTATTAATGAAATTTATTATTTAATATTAACTCACCAATAAGGAGAGCTCACTTTAAATGAACATCTGCTATTACCATATTATCAAACCAAAGAGATAAATAAGCCATTTTATCACAATATCAAATATTTTTTTAGTGTTGGTGTTAAAAAATGAGAGGTAATTTGTTCAATAAAGATTTTTAGATATGCATTTATTAGATATAAAATATTAAACAAGATTTTGTGGCTAATTATAGCCATGGATTCGTTTTTTTTTGTTAGACAGGTGCACGGCGTTGCACGTGCCTTATTAATATTTTAACTTATTTCTTAATTTTGTATTGTATTTGCTCTACTTTATTGATACTAGGAAAAGTACCCGTGCGATGCACGGCACAACAAATTGCATTGTTTTGATGTTGTAAGAATATAAACAAACGTTTAATGTATCGTATGATCAACATTCTATTATAATAATTCATCAGTGGAACATTAATAAGTATACTACACACAAAAAAAAAGCAAATAAATTTACTGTTGAATAATTTTCCAAATGAATTGAATCAGCTAATACCAGTAGATTGAAAATTTAAACCAGGAAAAAAATCATCAACTATCTCTTTCATGTTGAGCTTAAAAGTAATTAGATTTAATAACTTAGTTAACATAATCAAAACTAAACTGCCGACAACATACTATCGTAAAAGACCATCTATACATCTTGCATCGGAACTAAGTCCTTCTCCACTGCCTCGTTTTAGTCCTGTTTTGCGACTGGAATTAACAATTGGAAAATCAAGAAACAAAAATAAATATAAACAATAAATTAAATATCGTATACAAACAATAAGTCTTGAAGGTCGACTTCCAATAGCTTGTGGCTTCGCCGATTTTTGGTTAATTCTCTCAAATCATCATTTTCAATAACATGTCCAATAACATATAAAATGAAATAATTGTATAC